ATTGATCACAAATTCAACGAATAATTATTTTATTTTTTTCAGCGCTTACCAAATATTTTTTTTTTTTTTGATTCTCATCCATGAGAAGCAAAAGTATAATCGTCGTTTAGATGGAATGGCCAGAATTCGCTGCAGTTGGGCACTCAGTTGAAGGCCGCGTCCTGAATGCACCACCGTGGATGCACGAATGTACAAATTTGGCGATTAAGAAAATTGCCCTAAGCATTCAGCGATTTGGCCGTGATCGGGAAGGATTTGCGATTGTCAAAGAGGTTAACTTTCAGTCAGTTTTTTGATCGGGAAAGGTTGAACTTAGGGCTTTGGTTGTGAGGTTTTTGCTAGTTATTTTTGCTTTCGAAAGACTAACATACCTTCTTTTTTATGTTTCTTTTGAATCTATGCAATGCAGAAAACGCATATTGACGAACAGTTGTCTGTGTGCATGTATTTATGTGTCTGTACGTCTATGTGCGTGTTTGTACCGATTTTTCATCTCAAGACCTATAAAAACTGCAGAGCTGAAACTTTGAGAATTTTATCCACATACGCTTGCAGAATCCAAAATACAAAATGGGCGTCCTTACCCGCGTGGTACCATGTATGGGCTTGCGAAAGTTTTTTCGAATTAGTTATTAACTCAGGAACCAGAAAAGTTGGAAAGCTGAAATTTCAAAAGGATGCTTCCTGGCAGTCCTGCGGCTAGTCTCAATTTTTTCAGCTAGAAGCATCTGCCGGAAAAAATAGTGCCGTCAGAGATAAAAATATGCGAGAACTATGCAAAAAACGTATCTTCGCAGTCGGTGCGCTGGCCATTTATTTAGTTTTATAAGGCCAACTTTTCTTAATTTTTGATTACGAACAGTGTTACTGGCTTTCTAGCTGTTTGTGCTTGATTTTCATATTTTTTTTTTTTGCTAATGAGCATGAGATCGTTTAGCATGTTGGCCATGGCATCGTCCTTACAGCGGTCGATGAAGAGGAGAGGCGTATCTGTGGCGAATTGTTCTTCCCGTACGAAATGGGAGGTGACAGATCGCATGGTGAATGCCAGGTGCGGCTCCTCCTGAACAATTGATTTGCAGGATATTTCTAGAACATAATTAAAAATATAGCACATAGTGTTAAGAAATTAATAAAGCTTGAAAAGTGTTGTAAAATATAATGGTAAGAAATGTTTCGGTCCATTAAGTCGTATACATTTCTGTTATCACTGTGACGGCTTTTAAAATGCAGCAATTTCTCGTTCGCCCTTTTTAGGACGATTTTCCAGTAGACTCAACATGCTACTTCCGAGCGTGCTTGGAGCTGCCAAATCGAAAATACCGCTATCGGATTTACTCTCTGGATGCCGTAGAAGATGCGGTCGCAAATGGCTTGCCTGGAAGAGAGCAACGTTTCAGCAGAGTAGCACGTCCTGCTGTACGTTTATTTCTTTTCAGTAAATCGAGTTTTTGAAACGAATTTACCGAAAATTTGTAAATTGGCCTTGATAAGTTTTTACAGATTGGTTTTATTGGGAGTTTTTTCTGTGGATTGTATTGCGCGGCATTTGCTATAGGCATTTGGGCCGTGATTTAGCCGTATGTAATCCTATTTTTGCGCGGTACATGGCTGCATGATGATGTTTTTACTCATTCTGTAAAGTCGTCATTATTTTAATAAATTAATAAGTTTCCCCGCATACCACGGCACGCATTGAGGGTTAATAAAAAA